ACCAAGTCGAATTTCTAATTAGCTATTATATTTAATAAAATCAAGACTATATAACACGCGCATTCCAAGCACAAGTTGGGTATAAGCATTTCTTGTAGCTGGGGAACTTTTGGAGGGAGATTAAAATCAATAATTTGTTGATTTTACTCAATTGATAGCTTAAGAATTATACTTTTACTCAGTTTTCACTCAATAAGAAAAATTTTATTTTAGTCACACATGACCAAACAGAAATTTTGATATTTGCTGAAATGATCACATTACCCTTATGTTATTTGTGCTTATTCTATGAAAATATTTTTAAAAACATGTTGTTAATTGTATTACGAAATTTGTTTACTATTACATGATTTGTCAGCCATATTATAGAAATAAAAAAATTCCCACTTTATTAGCACTCAAAAATATCTCAAAGTCAAAATATCTTGACATAGTGAATAGCGTTACCAGAATTGTTAACTATATCACTAAAGCTGAGAAAATCTCACTTTCACAATTTGCAAGAGAATATGTTGTCAATACGTTGTCAAACTTGTTATTACTATTATATGACTTATTAATTATTAATCATGACACAGAAGTTGAAAAATTCTTAATTTTTTTTATGCATTTACTAATCTCTTAAAAACTTTGTGATATGTAAATGAAAGCCAAATTTATAACTCCTAATTTACTTTTGCATTATAACAATAGCAAAACCTTTCTAAAAGCATTAACTTCGTGCATTTGCTAAGTCGATCACAAACTGACACAATAAATGTAACATCCTTTGCTAAAACACAACGACAAAACACAAAATCATACAAATGAAATAAGAACGTTAAAAAACAAATAGGAAGCATAACAGCATAAGAAAAACCCAATATGTTAAGTCCAACCAAGATCTTGCGTCGATATATCTCACATTTTCATCAATAAAATTTTCAACGAGGGATTGTTTTTCCACCCCCCCAATCTTTCCTACTTTATATCGTATTTCTTTTTTATACTTACCGGTTACCCCGAAGGAAGGAGGAAAGAGTGGTGGTGTCTACGATGTAAGTTGGGTCAAAGAGAAGGAAATAGAAAAATGGCTGGAATATAAAATAAACTTTGTTGAGCCACAAGGAAATGCAAAGCAGTCACTTTTTCACATAGCCTTTGCCATCCTTGCTTTTGTTTGCTGGTACAATAGTTTGTGGAAAATGGTGCATTCGCATGGAGCCATTGTAAGTTGCGTCCCAAACGGGACCCAAAAAATATTAATATACACACAGACGCACACATATAAATTTAAACACATCCCTTTCGGGAAGACGAGGAGTAAGTGGCTGCCCCTTGTCTGATCTTACACACAAAATATTTTTTTCCTTAAAAGAAGACAAAACGGTATGCTTTTCAAGGAAGAAGAAGAATACTTAATGGTAATGGATGAATCAATACTATATACTTTTTGACGGGGTCTGCATCCATTAAATAAGCTTAAAGGATTCCATCACTTTAAACCATCTTCCCCACTAAGTCGGGCAAGTCACAATTCATCAAAGAGGACACTACTGCTATTGTTACCTCATCTTCTCCCTTCTTCTCAGGCATCAAATCATCCCTGTATACCTTCCAAAGAACTTGAGTAAGTAACTTTCTCTTTTTATTTACTTCATTCGTTTCAGACTTTGAATTGGGTTTCTTTCTTTCTCTTCATTCTTGTTTCTCCTAGCTTCGCTTTCATTAGGGTTTCCATATTCAAAGCATGAGACACACCACTTCCAACTATATTTGTACTCTCTGTCGCGTGTGTAGCCAATCTAAATTGTTTGGTTCGTTTTGATATATATTTATTTTTGAATAATGGTCTAGTTGGTTTGTATAATTGTTTTCGGAATCTATCCAAGAAGTCGTTTGCCCAAATCCTACAACGAAAATCCTTCGCCAATAATTCACTCCCGTGCTGGCACCAAATCTCCCACGATGCGTTCCATTTTGTGGAAGATGCTATATTCTTCCAAAATTTCACAAAATAATCCATATCCACGAAAATTGACACTATCAAACAGGGAGACAGAGGCTATTTTTAAAATCAAGTTTGGTTCCCATGCTTTCTAATAGGTTTTGACACCAATTGATTTGCAAGTAACAACATATTTCTGCTAGAAAATTCCTTATTCAGGATCTTTAAGAACAAGAACATTTGCAAAGTTGGTCCTTGACCATAATTTTTCTTCCTTTCTTTAATGCATTGTCATGCCCATATCATACCACAAGGAAAAGTCTTTGTAGTTGTTGATAGTTTTTCAATTTTTATTCTAAGCTTAAATGCGAGTAAAGTAATAAATTCGACGTGAAAATGGACTATGGTCCCATTTGGCCTAAAGTATTGGGAATGAGATATAAGAATTAGAATTGAGATTTAGAAAATACATTAAAAAATTATTTAACATGAGTGATTAATTGTTACGTAAGATGGGGCAAACCCATGTAAGTGGAATCAAGGAATCTGATGTGAGGATTGCTTGGTACTTGAGATTTGGCAAACCCATATAGGTGGGACTGGGTGATATTTCCTTATTCCACATGGATTGCCAATTCTATATGTAGCAAATAATTACTCACATTAAACACTCTTTTAATGTATTTTCTCAGTATCAATCCCAATTCTATCTCTTGCTCTCAATGTTTCATATCAAATGGGACCAATGTGTTTTTATTAGTGAGGGACCATTTCAAAATTTCTCCTCATGTAAGTTTTTATCTATTATTTCTTAACCGTACATAATTACCAATTTCATACCATCTGATTAGCTAATAATGGTATCAGCTTTCATTCTTTTTTTTTTTTGGGCCAAAGGATGGTCTTCCTATGCAATTCTCAAAGTTTGTTATGCTTTAAAACAATTAATTTCTTTTCATAGTCCTTGCATGATTAGGGTCCACATGTTTTGAGTTAATAGAAAAGGAAGAAACTAAAGATGTCTTGACTAAACACTTTATCCCAGTCTTGGACTCCAATGCTTTTTGAAGATGGGAAGATTTCAGTCAACTCCCTCTAAACCAACTTATTCTCCAACAACCCCTAGAAGATTATGAAACTTTTTTTTTTTGGCCAAAGAAGATTATGAAACTTCATTCCACCCTTTTTGACCAAAGTGAAATTAAATGTATGGGTGAAAAGACCATTTTGCTCTTGCATCATCATCATCATCATTATCATCATCATGTCATCATCATCATCATCATCATCATCATCATCATCAGTCTTTTAAAAAAAGGGATCAACCACCGTCGGAGTTCTAACCTTCAACAATCGGTCATTAGAGCATTAGTGGCCAGTCAATAGATGGAGCTTTGATCTCTGACAGCTGGCCATTGAAGTGCCAGTGGCTAGTCATCAGAGCTCCAGTTGCTAGAGAATTTTATTTTTGAAATAATTGGCCAAGGGGAAATTTAAACCCATGATCCTTTGGTATATGAAAAAGATTATGACAACCAAGCCATCGATCCATTTAGTCATATAATGTAAGAGAAATATATATAATGAAAAAAAATACAAGTGTTCAACTATGAATGAACAACTAAAATAAAACAATTTACAACACGAATTAGACAATTTACACGAAGTACAAGGGAATTTATAATTCCACTTGTGGTTTAGTGGAGAGAAAAGTTAAATGTTAAGGATTGCATCAACAACTGAAATAAAATAATCTGTTACAAATTAGGTGATTTACAAGAGGCATATGAGAATTCACAACTCCGATTGAGGTTCTGTGGAAAGAAAAATTAAGTGTTAAGGATTGCATGAACAAATAAAACAAGGTGATTTGCAATGAAAATTGGTGTTACCCAACTCTTTAATTAAGCTTGGATAGATGATAATGAAGGTGGAGTACAGAGCCAATCATATTAATAAAATTTACCCTTAGTATTTTAGTTGTCAAGCTTAAGTTGAGGTTCGTCAATCCAATTAATTCCAACCCAACACAATTGAAATTTATTAGGAAAAGAAATACGTATATAAAATTATAAATAGCAAGCAATAAAAGAAATAAAATTGCTTCGGTCGTTAGAGCATTAAGGGGTTCACAATTACTTTTTTAATTAACTACAAATCAATTAGGCCACTCACAAGAACCTATTTTTGTCTAATTTTTGTTGTTAGTTATCTTGTATGTTGTTAAGAATTTTCATATACCTCACATAAATTGTCTAATGTGTATTGTAAATTGTCTTATTTTAGTTATTCATGCAACCCTTGAAATTTAACTTATCTCAATCTCCACAGAACCTCAATTATAGTTGTGAATTCTTGTGTACCTCTCATAAATCGCCTATTTTGTGTTGTAAATTTCCTTATTTTAGTTGTTTATGGAATTCTTGACATTTAACTTTTCTCTTCATAGAACCTCAATAGAGTTGTGAGTTCCTGTATATATCTTGTAAATTGCCTAATTTGTGTTGTAAGTCACTTTAGTTTAACCTTTTTTTTAAAAAAAGATAATACAAGGGCATAATGGTCTTTTCACCCATAAGATTTAATTTCATTTTGGTCAAAAGGGTGGAATGAAGTTTCAAAATCTTTGGAGGCTGTTGAAAAATAAGTTTGCTTAGAGGGGGCTGACTGAAATTTTCTTGATGAAGAATCACACAAGACAACCATGCTTTTCTGTTTTTCAAGTAAACTAATTAAAAGCAGCTTTGCCTAGAGGAACACGGCTAAAACGGTCAAATGAGAAACTTGAGCTGATAATTTCATTCTTATATTCATAAAATCAATCAAGAAAAACAAAATAATCAAAATTAAATAGGTATAAAGTACTTGTAATTTAATCTAATATTCTTCTCAATTTCTGCCTTATTTAATAATAAAAATGCATTTATATATAGTTGAGAATGCACTTTGGGATTATACTTTCCCTCTCTAATCTGTGCAAGAACCTATGTTCTATCTCAAGTTGGGTTTAAAGTGGTTCACAGTCTGATGGTTGTATTTATATTTTGAATGGTCCAGCTTCTGAAGTATCACAATGGCACTCGATGATCAAGAAGTTGGATATTCTTCAAGCTATTGCCGTTCAAATAGAAGACACAAGTATGATGTGTTTTTAAGCTTTCGAGGAGAAGACACCCGTAAGAATTTTACAGACCACTTATATGCTGCTTTGTGTCACAATGGACTGATAACCTTTAGAGATGAGGAAGAACTTGGGAGGGGAGAAATTATCAAACCAAGTTTGCTTCAAGCAATTGAAGAATCTTTGTCAGCAATTATTGTTCTCTCTGAAAACTATGCTGCATCCACATGGTGCTTAGATGAACTCCTAAAAATCCTTCATTGTAAGAAAGAGTTAGGCCTTCATATATTTCCAATCTTTTATGGCATAGATCCGTCTGATGTTCGGCATCAGAAAGGAAGTTTTGCAACAGCCTTTGAAAAGCTTGAACAGAAATTTGCACATGACAAAGTGAAGGTGCAAAGATGGAGGGATGCCTTGAGAGAAGTTGCTGACTTGGCTGGATGGAGCTCTAAAAATTGGTATTTTCTATGACTTCAAAAAATTATCATGACTTTGGGCTACGCTTAATATTAATGTTATTATTCTGTTATCTTTTTAGGTATGAAACGAAACTCATTGAAATAGTTACTGAAAATGTGAGGTCAAGAATAGTTGATCACCCACAATTCGATTCAAATGATGAAGGTGTTGATGATGGACTTGTTGGAATTGATGAGAAAATAGCAGATTTTGATTCATTTCTAGCAATAAATCGGAGGAAGTTCAATTTGTAGGAATATGGGGAATGGGAGGGTTAGGCAAAACTACTCTTGCTAGAATTGTTTATGAGAGAATACACAGAAACTATGAAGTTCATTTATTTCTTCATAATGTTAGAGAGGAATCTGTAAAAGATGGTGGTTTAATTTCACTGCAACAAAAACTTCTTTCCTGTTTGAAAAAATCAATCAAAATGGAAGTGTGTGACTGTTATGAAGGAAGAAAGCTGATGAGAAGAATGTTATGCGGTAAAAAAGTTCTACTTGTCCTTGATGATGTGAGTGACATAAGCCAACTTGAGAATTTGGCGGGAAAGGAAGGATGGTTTGGCAAAGGGAGTAGAATAATAATAACAACTAGAGATCAACATGTGTTATTATTGCATGGTGTAGTTTCTCAGTATGAAATGAATTTCTTAAGTCGCGATGAATCCCTTCAACTTTTTATTCAAATAGCTTTCAAAGGAGATCAGCCAAATGAAGATTATTTGGAGCTTTCTAGAAGGGCGATTAATTCTGCTCAAAACCTTCCTTTGGCAATCAAAGTGCTTGGTTCATTTCTTTGTGAAGAAGCATACCAGAATGGGAGAATGCACTCAAGAAGATTCCTTTAGATGGCCTTTTTGATATACTTAAAGTGAGCTTTGATGGACTGCGATCTAATGAGAAGAATATATTCTTAGATATTGCTTGCTTTTTCAATGGCTTGCGCAAGGATGATGTCATACAGATTTTAGAAAATAGTGGTCTTGATCCGGTAATCGGACTAAGAACTCTTATTCAGAAATCATTGGTAACTGAAGCTGAAGGGTGCTTAAGGGTGCATGATAGGCTTCAAGAAATGGGCAAGGAAATTGTTTTTCGCGAATCACCCAATGATGCTGGCAATCGTAGTAGGATATGGTCCTTGGAGGATGCTAGTCTTGTGCTTAGAAATATGAGGGTAACACTCTCCCCCTTTTCCATGATTATGCATTCTTACTTCAGCAATATATTCCATGCATTTTTCATGTTATTATTAGTTGGATTGACTTATTGTTTTATATATAGGGAACTGAAGCAATACGTGGTATAGTGGTACAATTTGACAAACCAGATGTCATATATTTGGACCCTAAAGCCTTCTCAAATATGAGTAATCTCAAGTTACTTATCATATCACATTCTTCACATGACCAATTGAATCTTCTTCATGGACTCAACTGTCTTTCCAATTCACTGAAAGTCATAGATTGGAAGGAGTATCCTTTAGATTCCCTTCCAGGTCAAACTCAATTTGGTGAACTTGTTGATCTAAAAATGCAACACAGCAAATTAAAGGAACTTTGGAGAGGAGATCAGGTAATTAATGTCCTTTGCTTAAATTTGTTTTTCTATAATTTATTGCATGCGTATCACTTCCTAGTTCTTGGTTTTTGAAGGCTTTTTTTTTTGGTTCTTTGCAGTTTCCACAAATTCTAAAGTTCATTGATTTGAGTCATTCAACAAACCTGATGAGAACATCAAACTTTGATAGAACTCCTAATCTTCAAAGATTAATTCTTAAGGGGTGTACAAAGCTTGTTGAAGTTCACTGCTCTCTCGGGCAACACAAGAATCTTGTCATTGTTAATTTTAAAGGTTGCAAAAGTATTAAAAACCTTCCAACCAAATTGGAGATGAATTGCTTAGAGACATTTATTCTCTCTGGTTGTTCAAAAGTTAAGAGGCTTCCTGAGTTTGGAAAAGGTATGACATGTTTATCAGAGCTTAATCTAAAAGGGACTGCTATATCCAAACTACCTCAATCATTGGTCAATTTGACTGGCCTTGCTATATTAAATTTAGAGTATTGCAAAAACCTGGTATGTCTTCCAAGTGATTTTAAAAAATTGAAAGCTATAAAGAAGATCAATATTCGTGGTTGCTCAAAGTTGTCAAGGCTTCCAGAGAATTTGAATGAAAATGAGGCATTGGAGGAGCTTGATGCGCGTGGAACTGCTCTAAAAGAAGTGCCTTCGTCCCTCAATAATTTGAAAGTATTATCTCTTAGTGCATGCAATGCTTCTGCACAATCATCCTCATGGAATCACTTCTGCCTTCTCAAGCAGGCATTTAGGCTTCAAAGGCCTTCAAGTTCAACTAAGTTTTTGTGGTCTCCATCTTTTTCAAATCTGTCATCTTTGGTCGAGTTAAATTTAAATTATTGCAATCTTGATAATGAATCACTATTCAGTGAAATAGGCAATTTATCATCATTGACAGCATTATTTTTGGGTGGAAATAATTTTGTTGAAATTCCTTTGAGCCTCATTTCCAAACTTCGAAAGCTTGAATATATTTATTTGAATGATTGCCCGAGGCTTCGGTTTTTGCCTCAGCTTCCAGCAAACCTGTCAGTGATAGATGCTGGTAATTGTCCATCATTGAAAAATTATGTGTGTTCACAGCAACTATGGGAATTCACTGAGGAATTTGAATATCAGGTTTGTTGTAGTTCTCTTCACTATCATTTGTTTCACATCAGTCATTATAATTCCATAACATCCCAAATTTTTTGTTATAGACTTCATGCCAATATGAATTCTCATCAGTAGATGGATATAAAGTTTACATTCTCAGTGACATGAGGTCTGCAATTGTGAGTTGGAACGAGTCACAAGTTGTGAGTTATTTGAATCTCTTGAATTTCTAATTTATTTGATTTTATTATTTGACTATTTCTTACACATTAATTATTATACATCTCACATGAATAGTTTTCATCACAGGATGACTTCTTCCTGCAACCGACTCGCATATTAACTATTGCTGGTAGTGAAGTGCCATCCTGGTTTCACAATCAAAGCTATTTTTGTGCGAAAGATCTCCCCTATGGGCATCCTCCAACAAATGTGTCATTCATAGTAAATAAGCCTGATTCATGCTGTTCAAGTGAATGGTGGGGCATAGCTGTATGCCTAGTGCTAGAAAATGATTTGGAACATGCGAAGTATGATGCTCGGGCCGCACTTGGTTGGACTTATAGAGTTTCTAAAGGTGAATATCCAAATTCAGGCCGTGCTTATGCCACTTTTGCGCAGTCCAGATTTGGCCCCCAACTATGTATCATTTACATTCGTTTTTCCTCTTTTGTTGTGGAAAAACCACTTCAAATGGTTTTTTTCACACCGTATGAACCAGCATCGTCATCTTTGAAAATAGTACAGTGTGGGTGGCGGGTGTTGTGTAAAGAAGATGTTGAGAGAAGGCGAAACACAAGGAGTGACGAAGGCTGTAGTGTCAGCACTACTGATGATAAGTTCATTGATGAATGTAGATGATGAGTTTGATGATGGAGAGCCCAGCCCCTTCCAAGGGATGAGAAAAGATGGAACAACCACTTGACAGTGAGCTCAAACAAAATGGAGGCATTCGCCTGCTACAAATTAAATCGTTTATACATATTTATATTTTTCATGTTATTACATTTATTTAGTGGCTGAAAATGACATATGCACCTTCCTTTTTGTTGTGCATTGTTTTCACTCTTGTCAAATTATAATTCTCATGCATCTATTGTAAAGTTGGCGGAGAAAAAAAAATACGAGAAGTTATGCCAGTCTACTATTAAAATTAAGTATTCCTTAATAGTGCTAAACATCTCTGAAATAGTTACAAAGTGACATATTTCGAATTTTGGGTTTAGAAACTCAAGAATAAACTTGATTTAAGTAGGTTACTAAACATAATTTAACGGGAGTCCTAGCGATACCATGCGAAAATAAAAACATTTGTCCTTGAGAGGAGTGAAGAGTAAATTAAATAAAATGAAATAGGTCATACTTAAAAGTTAAATTTTCAGGTTATCATCTAAGTACGAGGGAAATTCCGTAAAAAAAAAAACTGAATATATGAAATTCTAATTCAAGCAGCTAAGGCTTAAAAATGACACAATGAAATGAGGCACGAACTGACATTTTGGAAATGTTATAAAATTACCTATATGTCCTTTTGATTCTCGACACTGCCGTGTTCCTTTCTTCAGTAGATGTTCAAATCTCTTTTGCTTCCTGTGTTTTTTCTTTTTCAGAATTCTGCCATATATGTTTGGTGCAGATCATTTGAAAGCAGAAAATGCCCATTGTGAGTAAAGCACAACAATCTGAAGTCGAGATATAGAAAGATCATTACCCCTCCCGCCACAACGCTCACAAGGCACGGAAGCCACAATGTTACCAGACGCAGTATAAAAATTGGAAGCAATAATGAATGCATCAGTGGGGGCAATGCTTGTCGCTTATGCAAATTTTCGAAGGAAACCATATGGTATCAAAAGAAGAGTACAATCCCATTTTGCAGCTCCAAGGATGAGCTCACAGTAAATGGCGCCGTAAGAGAATCTTCTGTATAACTTCATTACACAACTCCAAATCTGATTCAGTTTCAATTTCATTAATAAACCGAAACTCCGTAAGATTAAAACCGAATCGAACATCCGAGTGATAGAGTGATGCCGGTAGACTATAATGAACAGACCGAAACCAAAATAGAAGAAACAGAATGGAAACACAAAACTGTTACCTTAAAACCAAGAAACAAGGAGAGAGCAGTTGCGGCGAGAACACTAACAGTGGCGAGAAGGGTCTGGGTCTCGAAATTGAGAGCGGAACTACTGACACCGTTAAACAGCAAAATGGGATTGATGATCATCAAAAGCCCACCAGGTCGCGTTGGTTCCTTCTTGGGTCTACCCTTAGAGAGGAATCGAGGCAGTGAGGACAATCGGAATTTGGAACGAAGAGACTGAGAAGATGGGGAAGAACAGGAACAGTGGAAGGAGGAGGAGGAGGAAGAGGATGTGGTGAGAGAAGAGAGTGGAAGAAGAGTGGAGTGAGAGAGAGAAGCCAATGGCCCATGGATAAAAGAAATATGGAAAAACCATATTGGAGGTACCTATACTTTTTTCAATTTTCAATTTGGTACCTATGTTTTTTTTGTTCTTAACTAAATCTTTATTTTTCCTCTATTAACATCATTAATCCTTATGTAGAGACTAAAAATATCAATAGAACAAAGTTATAAGAGCTAATATTACTAAAAAGATAAAATTAAATATTTAATTAAAGGGAAAAAACACATAGGTACCAAATTAAAAATTGAGAGAAAGTATAGGTACCTTCAATATGGTTTTTCCAAGAAATATAACACTCACCAGAATAAAAGAAAGAGAGAGAAAGAGAAGATTGTTACCGCCTGCTTCACAGCATTGGGCCATGGCGCCTCACACCCTCTAGTTTTTCCAAGGACCATTTTGGAATATCATAACTTGTAGGATAATTTCGTGGAAGAAAAATTGGAGTAATTGATATTAATATTAGTGTATTACAGTTAATACAATTTTTATCCCCCAAATTTAAAATCATAGTTTTTAATTTCTTAAGTTTCTTTCCATTCAAAATATTGATCAGTATAATTTAATAAAAATTTGAATCATTTTATTCTTTGAGGGGCTCAAAATTAATGGTTTTAAATTTGATGGACCGAAGGTAAGATTTGTGCAAATTTGAGAGAGTAAAGATATTATACTAAGTTATCAACCCCTTAATATTATTATTATATTTAATTCTAATCATAAGAACTCGTTTATAAACTATAAATGAAATTTTATAATTAGGATACGAGGTAATATAATATTATTATTTTTTGGTTGAATTACACATGATATCCCTGTTATTTTTAAAACATAACCCCATCCTCTTAGTATTTGATGTGTGTATGTCCCTTAAATTTTTTGGTTCTTCATCTCCTCTCGATAAAATGAAGAGGGTGTTTGTGGAAACTTTTAAACGGTTCCAAACAGTCCCTGAACAATGTTTAAGATTATGGTTGGTCTTCTAATTTTTACCAAATCTTTTCACTTTAAACTGTTGGTAAAGAATCAAACGAATGGTGGAGTAGAGAAAAATAAAGAAGGTAAAGAAAAATCTCATCTTTAAATCAGAGTTGTGATGAGACCAAATCTGTGAGAGTGGAGTTTCCACCAAAGCCACACAAAGGGGCTGACGCTGTTGATTGAATCAATCAGTATATATTGTTATGAACAGTGAAGTCAGAGAGAAAATGAAAGTGATACTGGCTTGGCTAAAGATTTATTTTTACATTTTTAGTGGTATCGATTGATTGATATTGAATTTAAAAATTAGAAAATGAATGGAGGCTTTTAGTTTGTAATTAGAAAAATAAGTACATATAGTTAGTCAAATGTATATTAAGTTTCATTTTACTTAGTTGAGTTTCAATTTAGTCGTCCTTCAAAGCATAAAAGAAAATCTAGAAGTGCGGCTAAGCTATTGAAGTTAAACTTGTGGTAATGATTAGGAAAACTTTATCTGGCCGCTAGTTCAATAAGAAAAACACACTACAATATAACCTCTATAAGGTCCACTTTCGGCGGCAACAAAAAAAATCGCCGCTGAAGGTCCATTTTCGGCAATTTGTTTATTAATATTGTAAAATAAAATATATATTATTATATTATACTTTCAGCGGCGACAAAAAAAGTCGCCGCTGAAGGTCCACTTTCAGCGGCGACACTTTTGTCGCCGCTGAAAGTCTTGGTTTCAATGGCGAACTTTCAGCGGCGACTAGAAAAGTCGCCGCTGAAGGTCCACTTTCGGCGGCGACACTTTTGTCGCCGCTGAAAGTCCACTTTCGGCGGCGACACTTTTGTCGCCGCTGAAAGTCTTGGTTTCAGCGGCGACTTTTTTTGTCGCCGCCGAAAGTCGTCGCCTAAAGTCTATTTTTTTGTAGTGACACAAGCGTATCAACGTCATATTATAATATTCACTTGAAATATTTGAGCTCAAATGAGTGACATATGACTAAAGGAGCAAACTAAACATGATATAATGTGGATACTTAAATCTTTTTTCCCCTTATAAGCATGAGCATCTTATTAAAAGCAAGACAAATACCACATCACATAACAATATGTAACATGAGGTGAAAATGACATGGATATTGCTCAATACACAAATCCAAAATATTAACGGGGTTGGGTCTAACGGAAGGGCTAGTCCCTCACAATGTGACGAACCAATATTCGTATCCTAACTGGGAGAGGCACCTATATTTAATGCCCGATAGTGCCTCGAATAGAATTGTCTCTGATAGGACGATACCTATGTTGTAACCAAAAAAAAAAAATCCAAAATAAATATGGGCTAACCTTTACACATGACTAGGCCCCATAAACAAGCTCCCATTTCATTAATCCGCAAAGGTTGCGCTAGAGAATCACTAAGCTTTGGAGATATTTTATAAAATTATTCTAAAAATAAATACAAATATATTATCAATTAATATTCAATATTCAATATTCAAATTGAATTAAAATATTCAATATAAAAATAAAATAAATAATTATTATAATTATAAATATATAAATAATAGAAAAAATTCTTTTTTTTTATATTCTATATTTTATTAAATTTATTAGGAATTAGTTGAATTGGCTATTTCTAACAAATATGTGTTGGATTTCTTAATCATCATTTTTAATGACGTGTATTGGAAGTACACTTTAATTTTGTAGGAATTTCTTATAATTAATAGAAATATATTTTTAAAAAAACTATAAATTTTTGAGATAAAATAGATTGAGATCTTATATTTAAAATTAAATTTAATTCTCAACTCAGTCTTATATTAAAATCATGAGATAGTATATTTTATTGTCCATGCCATAATTTATATCGATGAAACATGGTTCACCCCCCCTTTTGCAAGGAGCTGTGGCATATTTAAGGGAGAGATTCGTACAATCTAAGTCACTATTTTCCATGATCAGCCAATGATGAATATCTCTGCTCGAAGGGACGTGATTGGCTTCGGCGGGGAGAGTTCAACAATGAAAACAAGAGTTAGATAATTCGTTGTGGCTCCATGATCAAAGGGCCCATTTTCGCGGCTTTAAGGTCCATGATTGGACTGTCACCACTTAGATATCCATGAGGAGGCGATCTGTTGCCCATTGTGCTCCCTTGTTGGTCGTACAGAAAGGTCAATTAGATTTCTTTCTATAGTGGTCTGTATGATATGCAAGTGTATTATCTCTTATTTTTAATATAAGAATTATTTATCTAAATTAAGTAGGTTAAAAAAATTAATTTAGTTATTTATAACAAATATATATTGATTTTTTTTATAATACTCTTTTTAACTATGTGCATCATAGCTACCATTACAGAAAATTTCATTACTATATGTAATTAATAGGAATATTTATGAGAAAAATTATAAATTTAGAAGAAGAAGCAGATTTACATGTTGATTTTTTTTA